CACGTGACATATGACTACAACACGTGACTACAACACGTGATTAAAATCACGTGGAGTCATCATATGCTTACCTTTTCTGAACCTTCGGAGTCCATCTGCCCTTAATAGCTTAAAGTTAATGATGATCAAACAGACTACCTTATCGGACCTTATTTGAACGGACATTACATGAACGGACATAATTATGAACGGACATTAATATGAACGCTCGAAGGCATTCAAAACCATCAAAAATCCGAATTTTTTTCAATTTTTTGACGTTTTTTTAATTTCAGCAAATGATTTTTAAATCCATTTTTTATACAGTAAGTAAGAAAAGCAGTCATTAAACAGTAAAAATGTTAAAACATGTGTACATGTTCAGTGTCTAATATCACATATCATCTTCATCAAATGAGTTTTCGTGCATGAAACAGTCCATGCTTAAACAATCATCAGTGATTTCTAGCTTTATGGAAACCTTTTTTATCAAACTACCCCGGTCCTGCATTTCAGTGTTAACTTTTACAAGCCATTCGGCGTGAAGTGGTTTTATCTTAGACAACTTTAGGTTAACTTTAACATCATGTGGAGCTTTCCTAGCACTGTTTCATTACCTCCCCTCAGTAATATGAACTATAACAACGTCGGACAATGTCCTTGGCAACACGATTTACCGTAATATCTATAGGCTGGAACAAGTTTGTCATGTTGGCGGGGACTAGCTCATGAACTATGTTGTTGAGTGCCATAATTTCGTTGACTTTTTCCGCCAAGTGACCCTTAAAAGCATCATATACTAGTAGAGTTTTCTGTGCCTCCGGCAGACCAAGGAGAACCATTCCGTCGTTAACTTACGGCACAATAAAGTTGTCATAGTTGTCATATTCTGGACAAAAAGTTCGAAATGGAAAAATTTTTGAAAAAATTTCAACGGACTTTAACTTGGACGGACATTAATTGAACGGACTTTATTTGAACGGACATTAAGATGAACGCTAGGGCCTCCAGCGTTCAAGTAATGTCCGTCCAAATAAGGTCCGATAAGGTAAATAAATTATATTGTATGTTTATTGCCCCACCTCATCAGAAACACTAACTCAACTGAAGAACCTAATCGAAAGTTTAGGATTAGGAGACGTCAACTCGTCTCTATTGCCCACTTTAAACAAAGCAACATTCATCGTACCTTGTTTTATAAAAACCAATAAACATATGCCAATGTACAATGTAGAGTGTAAACTACTCAAGGTAGCCGTTACAATTGGTTCTAAGGACGTAAGGTTATCACTGAAAGTTAAAGTTTCTTACTCCTTATAATGCAGGATGATAGTACGAGCACGGTTTAAATTTAACTAGGCGAAATTGTGGCTAAAATCGCGGCGAAAGATAGTGTACTTGCAGAGAAAAGTTACATGTCATATATTCGTTAACTAGCTCGTTAGGCTAGTTTAAGTTAGATTAGCTATAAATACTAAGCAGAGCTTGCTTTTAGATCAGCCCTTCCAGACGATCTCGAAGGTTCCCCCCAGCTCGCCAGAACGGAACTCGATGTTCCACTTCGATTCTGTACTCATACACATAATATTATAAGTTAACTTGTGTTAATATTTTACCATATTACACGTAATCAAACAAAATAAACCCTGTTTACAATGAGATAACATCACGTGATGGAATCACGTGTTTTGATAACAAAGCTAGAGACCTAAGGGTAAGGAGTAGGAACCGACCGGATTGGGGTTTTGGCTGCCGGACCGGATCTTGCCGGATTTTGCCGGACCGGAACCGGTGGTTACAGAGTGAAATATAAGGCAGCCGGATCTTGCCGGATTTTGCCGGATCTTGCCGGAAAATTTAAATTTATATTCTTATTTTTATACTTTTGTCATTATCATGTGGAATTACACAATAAAATAGTGTCTAACTCTTTCGTATCACTTATATGTTTTAAATATCCCCCTCCTAGTGTCTAACTAACAGTTTTCATGCCCGACCTATATTTTCGATTAATTTTTAGCTAAGTTCAATTTTCAACCAAATTAAAGTCATAATTATGATAGGCATGCAGCAAGTTCATTAAAATTTCTTAATAGTATGATAATTACACAATTGTAATAGTAGGTAACAGTAGTGATCTGGGTGCTGTACAATATCGATATCCTATTTATTCTGCACAGTTGTCACATGAGTCAAAATATGACCATTTGATTGGTTTTCAGCGTCATATCACGCGGCTGTATGTCTTCTGATTGGTTAAAGTTGATCACGTGGATTGCTTATAACTTGATGTGTAATGTTGATTTATATAGAGCCAGAGGTCAGCTGACGTAGGGAAACGGTCGCGTGACTCGCCTTGCTGTGTAATGTCGGTTTATCTAGAGTCAGAGGTCAGCTGATGTAGGAAACAATCACGTGACTTTCGCGATAACTTTGAATGTCATAAGTACACTCGTAATTGTGATTATGCAGCAGTCCGGCAAAATATGACCATTTGATTGGTTTTCAGCGTCATATCACGCGGCTGTATGTCTTCTGATTGGTTAAAGTTGATCACGTGGATTGCTTATAACTTGATGTGTAATGTTGATTTATATAGAGCCAGAGGTCAGCTGACGTAGGGAAACGGCCGCGTGACTCGCCTTACTGTATAATGTTGTTTAAATATAAATAAAACACTGTGTATCGCATAATAAATAAATAAATAATACAGACAGACAGTTTAGAGACCTAACCGCTAATTGGACACAATAGTATGATGTCTAAGGATCGATAAGTGACTACCCACACGCAACCTCTTAATAACTCACGTAATTCGTCTCCAAATTGCACCAAAATTTCAGAGATTATAGATATGGGTCAAACTTAGATTTCCTGAAAGTTTCGTAAGCCACGCCCAATTACAGTGGGCGTGGCGTGACACTCCCTCTTTTTCACTATTGTCTTCATAAAATGAGAACGCTTTAAGCTAAGAACTCAAAATTTTTGGCACACATTTGGCTTGATAATTGAAAACCTTTCCCAAAGTTTCAAGTTCATTGGTTAAAATATGGCTAAGTTATGACCATTTCAAAACTCATCGGATACGTGATCCGAGCACTCAGTCAGTGATCTCGTCACTTGGTTAATGGCCTGTTTGGCTCACATGCACCGCTTGATTGGTTGCAGCCTGCTTATGGGCCGGCCTATACAGCTGACTGCACCTAAAACGCTATCACACGAATTTATGGTGGTGTCACCATTTCAGGGCTTGTTAGCCCTGCTAGTCACAGGTTCCTTACAATCAATAAAAAGGAATGAACCATCCATTGAATCATCGAAAATGGTTCACTATCCTCCCTTTAATGCAGAACAACGATTGTTCGTCTACCTGAAGAAAGAAAATGGGGAGTTCTACCCTCAGATTAAACGACAATTTCAGATGAAATTCAACCGACCACCCCCTTGCCGGAAAAGCTGCTTTGACATTCATCACAAGATCAAGTTTACGTTTTCTGCACACGATCGGCGAAGAGTCGGCAGAAGACGAACTGCGAGGACTGTAGAAAACATCACGATGGTTGTTGGTGACGTGATGGACACACCTAAGATTGGCACCCGGAAACGAGCTCCTGCCTTAGACATCAGCAGAACCCTTCAGCGAATTCTAAAGCAAGACCTTTCTAACCGGGCCTACCGAATCACAAAGAAACACAAACTTTTGGACCGTAATTTCCAATCGAGGATAGATTTCGCCAACACATTCCTGTCCAAGCAGAATGTGGATCCCTACTTTGAGGACGAAATCTGGTACAGCGACAAGGCCATATAAACGGATATGTCAACTCCCAGAATGCAATTCACTGGGGCTCTACTAGACCGGATGAAGTGGTGGAGAGAACGGCTTTTCCTGAAAAGGTCACGATCTGGTTTTTATCCTAAAAATTTGTGTTTCCCTTTCTAGCAAAGTCATCATCGGTATCCAATCAAAGCCTAATGAACCTCATTAATACACGCTAACGCCTTACTCTTGATCAGATTGGGTGAATTTTGAGTTCTTAGCTTAAAGCGTTCTCATTTTATGAAGACAATAGTGAAAAAGAGGGAGTGTCACGCCACGCCCACTGTAATTGGGCGTGGCTTACGAAACTTTCAGGAAATCTAAGTTTGACCCACATCTATAATCTCTGAAATTTTGGTGCAATTTGGAGACGAATTACGTGAGTTATTAAGAGGTTGCGTGTGGGTAGTCACTTATGGGCCACCCTGTATGTTAAGAAGTATAAATTTGGCCTTATTAATCACGTGCTATACCAATGCACGTTTTAAACTTTAACAGTCTATTACTCTAAGGCAAATAGAGTAATTATATTCATATTTTGTCAGCAATAAGATCACATTATTTTCTATTTAGTGTGAAAATATGAGCTAGAACGGACATAATCTCGCTGAGTTATAGCTGTTTGAAATTTATGATGAACGCGCGGGTGCCAATTGATAACAACTAAATGCTTTTGCGCGTAGTGCGCGTCGAAAATTTGGCAAAAACGCTTGCGGAGTGAAAATATTCAAACTTCGATAAAGTATATAAAGTGGGTACTTCTCGGAAAGGAAAAATTTAGGCAAACACGATGTGACTATTTTTGGGTTGATTTAATACAACTGCAAAAAATTATTCAAACTTCAAGCAAAAAAGTCAAAATTTTACCACTTTTTTGGATTTTTACCCCCAAAAAATAGAGGGATTTGTTTTATTTTTATACCATCTTGTGCGGCTGTCTTTTAGCTATCTTCATGCAAGTTTTGCCGACATGCCAACAAAATTAACTTGCTCAAAATATCAAAAAACATGGTTTTTTGGCCTATTTTTGGCCCAAAAATCGGTTTTTTGCAATTTTAACCCCAAAAAGTCAGTCCAATCATCTTGAAACTACTTTTAATCGATTCTACGGTCAAAAATACGTCCAGTAAGGTGTATCTGGGGTACCTAGCGTATCGAGCAGACAATGCCCGTAAGAGTCTCTACTACGATCTAGCCAGTACTATTCTTTTCTGGAGAATAAAATTCCCGTGTCCGCACTTGCAGCCGGCTCCTCGCTCCATAATAAATCGCTGACAGTCTTTAAGTCCTGTTAGAGAGCACAACTTATAATTCATATATCAGACCAATACGAATGCAATTGTTTATAAACAACCTTGAAGAAATTTCATTCAATTAAGATGATCGAGAGCAAATAAGAGTAAATAATAAAATATGCCATCAATCAAACTTACCACAATTATGGAAGGGTATCCCTCGTTCGATTTGATGAGCAAACTCTCCACAGTGTCTAGATCTTCTTCCTTTATCTGTAAAAGAGACAGTTAATATCAGTGGCGTAACGTTGCCTGTTGGCGCCCCCCTGCCGAAAAAAGCGCCCCCCTGTTGGCACCCCCTCCCCTTTTGGTGCCCCTCCCTAAAATTGAACAAATTAGGTGATTTTAGAGAATACGCCGGTAAAATCTATAAAAAAGTGTTTATCTAGAGCAAAACGCGCAGTTTTGCTAGTACTTTAGTTAAGTTTTCGAAATTGTCCCACATTCAAACGACGATTTGGCGCCCCCCTAAGACGGCGCCCCCCTGCACAGCGGGGTCAGCAGGGCCCTTCGTTACGCCACTGGTTAATATATATACATATCACCGGAGACTCGCGGGCGGAACAAAATATTGCACGCGCACGCGCGTGCAATATTTCATATGTCCCCGAGGGCGCTAGCCCGAGGAGGACATATTTTCGTATAGCACGGAGGGCCCATCGGGCCCGAGTGCTATACGATTTTTCCGCCCGCGGATCGAGGTGATGTGGATTATATCCACCAGCGGGCGTATTACAGTTAATATATAATTTTATAAATAAACAATGGAGCTTGTATAAAAGTCATCTCTAGAAAAGGTCGCCACTAATTGTTGTAACCATGGTAACACGTCACGTGTTCAATGTAAGCCAATCATAAAGGGCTGTGTCGTATATAGGGGCTGGAGATGCACTGCATTCCTGGGCCGTGGGAATAATGAATGTAATGTCAGTGACGATGAATATCAATAATATAGGGGGATTATAGTGCTGATGTGTATTATGTAGTGTGTTATAATAACTTTGATATAAATCAAAGTATCATGTCATCTGCTCACGAGCTGCATGGCCATGAGCAGCCCTACCGGACACAACAATAAAATGTATTATATAGTCAGTGTAATAAGGAATTTCACATGGAGACGATACAGAAACTGAAAATATTTTAGAGAACTCCGGGCTATATTGCTACTGGTCAAATTAAATGTCACTTGTTAGCGGGCTATATCGTGAGCGGGCTGTAGAGATATCGGGCCCTTTGACAGCGGGCTGGTGAGAGCCCGCTATGCGAAAAAGCGCACGCTGGTGGATATAGATATATCTATAATATTATATGGATCGACGCCGTGCCACTGGGCCACCAAGGCCTTAATAATGAGAGCCGGATATATATATATATATATATATATATATATAACCACTTTCTTTTGTTGTGTAGAAGTCTAGCCAATGAAATATATATATATATATATATATATATATATATATATATATATATATTCTAATAACGCATGTAATCAAATATATCAATTCTTTATAAGAATATAACACATACAATGAGATTATTTATTAATAGATTATCTTACCAAATCTTTCAGCCTCTGCATAACCCGTTTTTCGAATGTCATGAATGTCGGATCGGTTTCTCCTAAAAGTTTCTCTTTGCAAGGAAAAGTGAGAGATGAGACAACTAGCTTAACAGACGAGCACTTTAATAAGTAAGAGACCAATGCTTATATCTTTTATTTTACAGTTACACTCACATCACACGCAAATTCACATTTAGTTTCACAAGCATGGGAGCTCACCTGGTCCAACGAGCTTGGTATTTATAATCACTTATACTGCACTCTCATGCGGCTTCTATATTAATATAGAAAGTGATACAGTGTCACTTGCAACTATAAGTATTATGTTTGGATCGGTTTCTCCTAAAAGTTTCTCTTTGCAATGAAAAGTGAGAGATGATACCAAAACCTCTTTGTATGTTCTAATTGTACAGTTGTTCAATTTATAACGTTACCACGACAACCTCTCCGCTCGTCAAATGATGTCAAAACGTCGAAGGGAGTCATGCACCAAGTGTAATGCAAGTATTTCTATCTACACCCCGTCAGCTATGCAGAATCATCAAGCTTCTCGTAGCTGTAAAATAATTCAATGTAGTATTTGCCACGTGAAATACCCATTGTTAATGCAGATTGAACATGGAACACAACATAATAAAGAATCGCGTCACATTGGTACTGCGTGGGGGTTCAATGATGTATTTGTAGTGCCGGAATCTGTGATAGAAGAAGACTATAGAGACTTGTATATTCGCCACAAGAAATACATCAAACCGTCAAGGACAGTTAGGTCTCTAACTGCTGTATACAATTTTCAGTTGCATCATTTATCAATCGAAGATATCAAGGAACATTTGCTCTCTGTGTTCAGAGACCAAAAAACAGCATTTAAACTGAAAATTTCACTTGCGTTCATCTTGAAAAACAACGAGGATCAGTCCTTGCATTTTTATTATTCTTCACAGAACAACCAGCTTCTATTCAGTGATCCACATTTTGTGGGTGACCTTAACGACTTGAGTACACTGACCCACAAAATTGACGAACTAGATCTTTTGAATCATGTTAATTACCCAAGCTCAAAGTTTTCATTTGTTCGTATAACCAATGTTAGTTTTTTCGTATCCAGAGTATTGAGGTGTCCCATTGGTGCGTCAACTCAATTACCGACCTATCTTAAAAACAATAAAGGTTTAATTGGTCTTGTATCTTATCGGGGTACCCCGTATAATGACAATCTATGCTTTTTTCGATGTCTTGCGCTGTTTCAAGGCGCAAAAATCACCGCTTTAGAGCGAAAGGCTAAAGAGCTTTTTGATTGCTATTTGAGAGGGATGAGTATTTTAGCTTCAGATTTTACTGGAATTTCACTCAATGAACTGGAAGATGCTTCTCGAATTTTTGATGTCGGCATTTACGTTTTTACTCAAAGCGAGACTGGTATCACAGAAAGTCTTTATAGAACCCTTAAAAATGATAATGTTATGCATCTGAATCTATATAACAATCATTTCAGTTATATCAAAGACTTGAATAAATTTTCACGTAGCTTTCGCTGCGGCAAGTGTAACAAAACATTCCCAACCATGTTTCGTCAGCAACGACACTCCTCTACCTGCGACGCCGCTACAAGAGATGTTTACGTTGGGGGTGCTTTTGAACCAAACAGAACAGTCTTCGATAAGCTAGAAGATTTTGGCGTTGATATTTCTACTGAACTACGCTATTATCCGTACAGAGCATGTTTTGATATAGAATGTGCTCTAATTCGAGATACTGGCGTAGACAATTCAGCTAGAGTTGAGTTTAACGCGAAACATCTTTTGGCTAGTATCTCAGTCTGTTCAAATATCTGATGCTTCTCATGAGCTAATGAGAGAAGGATTTGCAGACTACTTAGAGGCTATCCACCAAATTGATGACGAAAAATTGGTGGATCGATTTGAGAAATATCTACAGCAGTTGCCGCTGCTATCGTTTTGCGGTCAGAAATTTGATATCCCCACTATGAAAACTCAACTTTTCTCAGTTCTCCTCGAGGTTGAGGACATAAATTACATAATAAAACGGGGAGCGTCATATTCGGCCATATCCAGCGAGAACTTTTTGTTTCTGGATGTAACAAACTATATGGCAGCTGGGTCAACATACGACCAGTTCGTTAGAGCATACGGTGCGACACTCCCAAAAAGTTTCTTTCCGTACGAATACTTTGACAACCTCGAGAAGCTGACGTCGACTGTGTTTCCACCTTACACTGCATTTTTCTTTCGTTAAAGGATGAGGGGACCTTAGAATTTACTTCCAAATATTCGTGTTTAAGTCCTGTGAAAGTGTGTAGAATCAAAAAATACGCCGGACTGTGAAATCGATAATTCGTGCAATATCACGCCGCGCTCCTATTGGCTGATAACAATTTTGGGCTGTGACGTCACTTATGTGTTAAGACCAACGTGCGCGCGCACCCTTTTATTTGCTCGCTAACTAAACCACAAACTGCTATTTTGTTTTGACTTGTTTGAAACCCGATATGGACACAATTAAAAAGAATGTATGATGTAGTAGAAGACATTTTACTAGCTGGCCCTTGGCGCCTCTAGTCCTATCTGAGTACGCACGTGCGGTTTGACACTGCGCGTGTACCGGCCTTTAGTTGTACACTCATTTATAATTTACCGTTTTAGTTTGCTGTGACTTGAGTGTAAAGCGTAACGAATGTGGATGTGTTCGTCTGCTATGCTTGGTATAAATATAATATTGCTTGGTGTAATAGTTGCAAATCTTGCTTACGTTATAAGTAGTGTCACATAGTGAGTTAGAACTTAAAAGCTTGGTGCTTAGTGCTTGTCCAACTGAAATGAAGACATGCATTTCATACCTACCCGATCCATTTTTATTAGGACCGTGTTGTGTTGATATGACATGTTGATATATCAACTGTGGTACGAAACAGGGAGTTGCTAGGTGTTACGTTGGGAGCTATAAATATACATAATTTACATGCCTTTCTGTATGACTTCAATCTTATTCCAGGTGTATCTCGGCTCATGGTTATCGTATGGTGATAATTCTTTTTTCAACCGGTCATAAAAAGTCTCCTCTCCATTGGTTATAGGCTCGTTAGTATCGTAAATTGTTAATTTATTCTTAATTAGTAATTTAGTCGGCCCGCACGCTCATTTTACCTGTATTTCTATATGCGCGGATCAGAGCAACTCACATAATTGACGTCACAGGTTCAAATTGTTTTGGCTGGATATCTCGGCGCGCGAATGAAATACAACTTTGCGGATTTCACTAAAGTGGTTTAAACGATTAATGTAATAAAAGGATTTGCACGAGAAAAAACTTTTTCTAAGGTCCCCTCATCCTTTAAAAATGCGAAACACTTTAGAGCCTACTCCCGATGAGGTGTTGTCTGTCGAAGAAAATCAAGTAGCCAACAGCTTTTCTCAGCTCGAAGAAAGCCGAAGTCTATCATCGGAACAAATCTCGCGGGTGGCTCTATACAGATATCAACAGCTCAATCAACTATTTGTCGACAATCAGTGGACATTTGGAGATTTTTTAGCTTACTACAACAATCGGTGAGTATCTATATATATAGCAGGGATATGGGGATCCAACAATGCACCAAGCACCTGAATGAAAGAAGTAGTTATGATCA